CAGTCAAATACACAAAAACAGTAACACAACTAATAATCTCATTTGAACAATGTCTGTATTTCTCACATATTTATGTTTGTGGTTGTAATGTGACAAAATATGGAAAAGTTCAAGGGGTATTAATACTTTTGCAAACCACTGTATATGAGACATGTCAGCACTTTACTGCCAGCTAGTAGAAAGATCATTTCCTTTCACAGATTAACACATTTTGTTGCGGTATGGGGAGGTGGTTTGTCGAAACACACTTCTGAGTCATGGTGTTAAAAAAAAACAAGTTGTTGATTGCTAGTTCTGCTGCTTCTTGGTCATTTTCTTATGTTTATGGTGGAGCTTTGGTAAGAAAACATGCAGATATATTAGCAATTTAAACTGTTTATTGTAAAACTGAAGCGATGCATTGTGGATAGGCTACAGGAACAAGAACAGGGACCTGTTCATTTCAAAATAAGAGTGAATTTAAACTGTTCCGTGTTTATTTATTATTGTTATTTATTTACTATTTATTACTGTGGTGTCCCTCGAAGAAAGGAGGTACAAACTGCACAGCTGAGCGTGGTTCTGCAGATCAGAACTGCAGGTGGACTGTCACCCACCCAGTTGCTTCCTGCCACGCGAAGAATTGTGGGACTCTCTACAAAATGAAAACTGTCACACAGAACGAAAGTCAGAGTCTTAAGCTCTGTGATGACTGCTGCCTGAGGAGTCGCTGTTTCCACACTGTGGAGGTCCATTGTCTTCACAAGAGATGGCTTTCCCCTCCAATGTTGAAGGAAAATGATGATGAAACTAATAAATTATAATAAACAAGACGTAATGGATATAGATGGCTCTATCTTTTCTTTAGATAAACTTGAGGATCGAATTTGAAACATTATTTGCGATTAGCACTACTCAATTCTAAATTTAGAAAGTGCAAATCTGCAAATCATTTTAAGAAATTAGTAAAACCCCTAAAGCGCAAAGTAGAACTTTAGGTCCACAATTAGCACATTTGAGCTTTAGGGGACTAGTGCCCACCACTGGTTTTTGGTGTTAAAAAGTAAGAGGATTTTCTTAAAGTAATACCAGAAAGGATGTCAGTTTTACCTTGAAGGTATGAGCTGTGTACTCCATTCTGCACAGCCTCTTTTATTTCTGCTGACAGCTGTGTCTGTAACTCCTCTGTAAAAGCTGAGTCACATGAAGAGCCATCTGTAGGTCTGACCGTCAGCTCAACCGTCACAATGTGCCGTCTCTCCCCCACTGTCCGATCCAGAGTTTCTGCGGCACAAATCAGAAAATTAAGCCGATGTTTGTAGCTGATAAGTGCGATCGCTAAAAAGTACCAACATAAACTGGATTGGTGTACCTTTAGTCGATGCCTCGTGAAGAATGGTCTCTCTGTAGGCTACCTGCAGCGGACCGAGGTAGGTCTCGACACCATACTCTCTTCTGATTCGATCGTGGATGATCTCGATGTGCAGTTCTCCCATCCCACACAGGATGGTCTGAGGATGGAGAGGATGTCAGCAAGGCAGACACTCTGCTGAAGCCAAGTTCAAACTAACTCAAAAACAGGATTACCTGACCAGAATCAGGGTCAACTTTGACTTTTAGACTGGGGTCTTCCCTCTGGAGGCAGTCGAGGGCAGTCTCCAGATCTTTCAGTGAAACAAACATTAGTACTGCTGTAAGTGAAACAATGCAGGACCAGAACATAAATGGATTTACTGACCAGCCTGTTTGGACATGGTGGGAGGTTCTATGGTGCAGAAAAAGACAGGATCGGGGACTTCCACTCCGGACAGGATGATGTTAGCGTGTTCTCCGCAACTTTTCCCTGTCTGATTCTCATCTTGGGCTCTGCGAGCTGCAGCTGCTGCTGATGCTTTGGATGAAACAATGGTGTCTCCTGTAACTGTCTGAAGTTTAGGAAAAAAGCAAGAACTTCAAATGATAGAAAACACTTACAGAAAGTTTCAAATATATAGTATTTTTTAAAAAATGTTTGTAGTTTGTAGCCACTTTTCACGCAAAGGTTCTGACTTATAAAACTTGAACTTAGCATGAAAATGTGTGGTCCCTCACGCCAGCTTTGACTCATGCGTGCGCTCATTTTGGAGCCGGGAAGCTGGCGACACAGATGGTAAAGTGAGGGTTGGACCTCCTTTTGACTTCAGAACTGCCTTAATCCTTCAACAAGGTACTGGAAACATTCCTTAGAGAGTCTGGTCCATATTGACATGAAAGCATCACACAGTTGCTGCAGATTTGTCAGCTGCACATCCTTGATGTGAATCTCCTGTTCCACCACATCCCAAAGATGCTCTATTGATGAGATCTGGTGACTGTGGAGGCCATTCAAGTACAGTGAACTCAATTTTGTGTTCAAGAAACCAGTCTGAGATGATTGGCACTTTATGACATGGAGTGTTATCCTGCTGGAAGTAACCATCAGAAGATGGTACACTGTGGTCATAAAGGGATGGACATGGTCAGAAGATGGATACACTGTGGTCATAAAGGGATGGACATGGTCAGAAGATGGAAACACTGTGGTCATAAAGGGATGGACAAGGTCAGAAGATGGGTACACTGTGGTTGTAAATGGATGGGTCAGAAGATGGGTACACTGTGGTCATAAAAGGGTGGACATGGTCTGAAGATGGTACACTGGTCATAAAGTGATGGACATGGTCTGAAGATGGTACACTGTGGTCATAAAGGGATGGACATGGTCAGAAGATGGTACACTGTGGTCATAAAGGGATGAACATGGTCTGAAGATGGGTACACTGTGGTCATAAATGGATGGACATGGTCAGAAGATGGTACACTGTGGTCATAAATGGATGGACATGGTCAGAAGATGGTACACTGTGGTCATAAAGGGATGGACATGGTCAGAAGATGGTACACTGTGGTCATAAAGGGATAAACATGGTCAGCAACAATACTCAGGTAGGCTGTGGTGTTGACACGATGCTCAGTTGGTACTAATGGGCCCAAAGTGTGTCAGGAAAATATCCCCCACACCATTGCACCACCACCAGCCTGAACCATTGATACAAGGCAGGATGGATCCATGCCTTCATTTTGTTGATGCCAAATTCTGACCCTACCATCTGAATGTTGCAGCAGAAATCAAGACTCATCAGACCAGGTAACATTTTTCCAATCTTCTATTGTCCAGTTCTGGTGAGCCTGTGTGAAATGTAGCCTCAGTTTTCTGTTCTTAGCTGACAGCAGTGGAGTGTCTGTCAGCTGCAGCACAAAGCAGGAGGAAACTGGGGAGAAGTTTGATGAATTTATTTCTAGCAGCAAAACAGCTGGGCAGTGGTTGGGTTATTTAGTTTTATTAATTTTTTTGTTTGTTTTACCATACTAATGTAGACTCAGAGAAAAAAGGTTGAATCTGAATGTCTATATACTTGCAAAATGAGGAAAAATCTGTGTAAATTACAGCCAATCTATTGATGTGAGCAGTTGTCAGCACCCGTCCTCCTCCAGACACATGATGAAGTTTATCTGAGCCAATCCTTTTGTTGACACTGACCTGACTCATTTAAATATACCTTAACATTCATGAGGTACTTTGTATTTACTGTTTATGGTTGAGTGTGGGAGTGGAGAGGATAGAACCTGAGGCGGGACCTTGTGCGCAAACTCTGAGGTGCAGCTGTGATCTATAAAGGAAAATTGATTGAAGGTGTGCGGGTGCATGGTTTTATAAATCTGAATTCGTTTTGGCGTAAGCCATTTTCACCTTTTGGCCATATGTTCACTTTTAGTATGAATTCTATGCAATCTTTGTAAATGAGACCTCTGGTCCTTACTAGATTTTGACCAATCTTCTCAGGAGTGGATGTCCAGTAAAGTCACCCCAAAGTCAGACCTTGTAATGATCAGTGAGCACAATATCCATATTTTCAAAATAATTCACAAAATGCAGACTAATTTTGTCTTAGTGGATTTTATTTTGAAATATGAAGTTTAAGGACGACAGCAATGTAATTTCAGCTGTATTTGGAGTCCATCTTCCACAGAATAAATTATTTTGTTCTGACTTCCACATTTATCTTGTGATCTCGCACTTCCTGCCCACGCTTCTGTAGGGGTCACCTCGAGTGAAGAAACAGCTGAACTCTATTTTAGGCCATGATGGGTCATTCCAACCTACACGAGGACTTCAGTTCTCTTAATCAGATATTAAACAGAAACAATCTGTTCTGTTCATGATTCATTGGTTGTTTAACTAAGAATGTTTATGCA